TTACAAACTGGATTCCAAAAAAGTTGGGACACTAAACAAATTGTGAATAAAAACTGAATGCAATGATGTGGAGATGGCAAATGTCAATATTTTATTCGTAATATAACATAGATGACAGATCAAAAGTTTAATCTGAGTAAATGTAACATTTTAAAGGAAAAATATGTTGATTCAAAATTTCACAGTGTCAACAAATCCCAAAAAAGATGGGACAAGTAGCAATAAGTGTCTGGAAAAAGGAAATTGAGCATATAACGAACAGCTGGAAGACCAATTAACACTAATTAGGTCAATTGACAACATGATTGGATATTAAAAGAGCTTCTCAGAGTGTCAGTGTCTCTCAGAAGCCAAGATGGTAAGAGGATCATCAATTCCACCATTGTTGCGCAGAAAGATAGTGCAGCAATACCAGAATGGTGTTACCCAGCGTAAAATAGCAAAGACTTTTAAGTTATCATCATCAACGGTGCATAACATCATGAAAAGATTCAGAGAATCTGGAACAATCGCTGTGCGTAAGGGTCAAGGCCGTAAAACTCTACTGGATGCTCGTGATCACCGGGCCCTTAAACATCACTGCACCTCAAACAGGAATGCCACTATCAAGGAAATAACAGAATGGGCTCAGGAATACTTCCAGAAAGCATTGGCAGTGAACACAATCCACCGTGCCATCCGCCATTGCCAGCTGAAACTCTACAGTGCAAAGAGGAAGCCATTTCTAAGCAAGCTCCACAAGCTCAGACATTTGCACTGGGCCAGGGGTCATTTAAAATGGAGTGTGGCAAAATGGAAGATTGTTCTGTGGTCAGATGAGTCACGATTTGAAGTTCTTAATGGAACACTGGGATGTCATGTCATACGGACCAGAGAGGACAAGGATAGCCCAAGTTGTTATCAACGCTCCGTTCAGAAGCCTGCATCACTGATGGTATGGGGTTGCATGAGCGCTTGTGGCATGGGCAGCTTGCATGTCTGAAAAGGCACCATTAATGCAGAGAACTATGTTCAGGTTCTAGAACAACATATGCTCCCATCTAGACGTCATCTCTTTCAAGGAAGACCCTGCATTTTTCAACACGATAATGCCAGACCACATTCTGCAGCAATCACAACATCATGGCTACATAGGAGAAGGATCCGGGTACTGAAATGGCCAGCCTGCAGTCCAGATCTTTCACCTATAGAGAACATTTGGCGCATCATAAAGAGGAAGGTGCGACAAAGAAGGCCCAAGACGATTGAACAGTTAGAGACCTGTATTAGACATGAATGGGAGAGCATTCCCATTTCTAAACGTGAGAAACTGGTCTCCTCTGTCCCCAGACGTCTGTTGAGTGTTGTAAGAAGAAGGGGGGATGCCACACAGTGGTAAAAATGGACTTGTCCCAACTTTTTTGGAATTTGTTGACGCCATGAAATTTGGAAACAACAGATTTTTCCCTTAAAATGATACATTCTCTCAATTTAAACTTTTGATCTGTGATTTGTGTTCTATTCTGAATAAAATATTAGATGTTGGCACCTCCACATCATTGCATTCAGTTTTTATTCACAATTTGTTTAGTGTCCCAACGTTTTTGGAATCCGGTTTGTATATAAATATATATGTATACACATATATATGTATATATATATACATACATATATATATATACATACATATATATATATATATAAATATATATGTATGTATATATATATATATATGTATGTATATATATGTATATACATATATATATGTATATACATATATACGTCACTATATGACGTCACTCAAGCCGTTAGACAGCAGTGTAGGAGAGCAGAACGCAGGTGGAGGAAAGACAGGCTGCAGGTTTCTTTTCAAATCCTAAAGGAGAGTTGGCGTCATTATCAGAAGGCAGTTAAAGCCGCCAAATCAAAGTTCTTTTCTGCGATAATTGCCTCAAACTCCCACAACCCCCGAGCCCTTTTTTCCACCCTGAACTCAGTTCTACACCTCAGTGAACCTTCACCTCTAGAAGCCTCAACTGAGCTGTGTGAAAACTTCCTCCATTTCTTTTCTGAAAAAGTTGCAAACACCCGGGCACTCATTTCTCCACCTGCTCATGATCCGTCCATCCCATCTCATAGTGTTGCTGTTCTTGACCACTTCGAGCCCATCTCTCTGCCTTCCCTGGAGCAGGTCATGTGCGGCATGAAGCCATCTGGCTCCCCTTCTGACGTTGTCCCCCCTCGACTCCTTAAGGAGCTTCTTCCTGTTCTGGGCCCTCCTGTTCTTGGCATTGTGAACAGCAGCTTAGCCTCAGGTGTGGTGCCAATAACTTTTAAACATGCTGCTGTCCAACCCCTCCTGAAAAAACCTAGCCTTGACCTCTCAGTCATGTCCAACTTCCGGCCTGTCTCCAGACTCCCATTTGTCGCTAAACTGCTGGAAAAAATAGTGGAGTCCCAGCTGAAATGCTTTCTAGAGGATAATGCCATCTTAGAGCTATTCCAGTCTGACTTTAAACCTCTCCACAGCACTGAAACTGCTCTACTCAAGGTTTTTAACGACATTCTCCTATTCACAGACGCTGGTGATTCTGTGCTCCTTCTCTTACTGGACCTCACATCTGCCTTTGATACAATTGACCACGAGATCCTCATTGCGAGGTTAGAGCAGTGGGTGGGCATCACTGGGTCAGCCCTCGAATGGTTTAGATCTTACCTCGCTGACAGGTCCTTTTGTGTCTCCATCAAAGATTTTAGTTCAGCCTCGGCAGCGCTTAAATGGGGGGTACCGCAAGGGTCCATCCTTGGTCCTCTTTTATTTTCTTTATACCTGCTGCCACTAGGTGCTATTTTCAGGAAACATAACATACCTTTTCATTTCTACGCCGACGACTGCCAAATCTACTTCCCCCTCAGACTCAACGGTACTCGCTCTATTCAACCGTTACTGGACTGCCTGGCTGACATCAGAGATTGGATGGCTTTAAATTTCTTGAGTTTCAACGAGAAGAAATCTGAAGTTATGCTGTTTCCTCCCAATGACACAATCACCAACCACTGCATCGACCTATCCGTTCTGTCACCGTTAGTGAAACAAAGAGTCACTAATCTAGGAGTGATACTTGACCCTTCTCTGAAACTCAACAATCATGTAAATATGATTGTTAAATCCTGCTTTTTTCAGCTGAGGCGACTGTCTAAGCTGAAGCCCATATTGTCCAAAAATAACCTGGAGACAGTAATTCATGCATTCATTACATCCAGGCTCGACTATTGCAACTCACTCCTTTTTGGTATCAGTCAGACCTCCATAGCTAGACTCCAACTGGTCCAAAATGCAGCAGCCCGGTTTTTGACCAGCACAAGCAAAAGAGAGCGCATTACACCTGTTTTGGCCTCCCTACACTGGCTTCCGGTTCACCTTCGAATCAAATTCAAAATACTCTTGTATGTCTATAAATCACTAAACAGCTCTGCCCCCTCCTATCTTACTGATCTGCTCCAGCCGTATGTCCCACCACGTTCTCTCAGATCAGCAGACCAGTTGCTCCTAACAGTCCCAGGAACCCGTCTCAAGCGCAGAGGTGACAGGGCCTTCTCTGTAGCAGGCCCAAGACTGGAATGAGTTACCTCTGCTCGTTAGACAGGCCCCCTCCTTCACAGTTTTTAAATCTCGCTTAAAAACACACTTCTATTCCCTGGCTTTCTGCACTGTGTGATCTGTGCTGAATCTGTGTGCATCACACTGTGTTAGTCATGTTGCGGTTGTTGTTGTTATCCATTATTGTTTTTGTTGGTTTCTACTTTTTGGTGTCCTGTTATGTAATCTGTTGCTATGTGCTTGTTCTGTTTGTCCCTGTACAGCACTTTGGTGTACTTTGTCACTGTTTAAAGTGCTTTATAAATAAATTGGTATGGTATGGTATATATACATATACACATATACATATATATACACACATATATATATATACACATATACATATATGTATATTTATATAAAATTTTTAATGAAATGGGCTGGATTGAAGTCACCCGTGGGACTGAAATGGCCTGCGGGTCGCCAGTTGAATAGCCCTGGGAGTATGAGTAGAGTATGTGTTATCAACATAGGTTTGTAGCTTCTACAAAGAAAGAATTGTTGACTGTCTGGTTGTAGCAGCTGATCATTCTGTGCATTCCTGCCTTTGTTGGCTCGGCTTTACATTTCTGAATTTCACCAGCAAGTTTGTAGTTGTCTGTGTATGCACGAGTGAGAAAGTCAACTCACTTTAGTTGTCTTTTGAAAGCAAAACATAGGATGAAAAGTCTCCTGGACAGGGTCTCCTTCACATGGAGTATTTTACAAAGATGATGTTTTGTTCCCTCTTTTCTAAACCTACTAAGGACTGAAAAATGTAAGCTCACATCCCACATGTTCAGACACATCTGTAATGTGGCAGCACAGTTCTACTGCGGGCTCTGATGATCAGTATGAACTGACAAAATAAGAAATCGTGACCATATTTCTTCTGCTCTTTTGAATATTGATCAGAAATATGATGTTATTGCCAAGATGACCTTTGGGATAGTGTGAACCACAGACAAAAATATGGTTTGTGAGATCATGATGACCTTTGACCTGTGCAAACCCTATTAAGGCAGTAACATCTGCTGTATTTTCTCCCCTCAGGTACAAGGAGTTGATGACGGGGAAGACTGCCAGAGAAATCATAGCAATTTTATGGATCCTTTCTTTTGTTATTGGTCTTATTCCCTTCTTCGGATGGAACTTGAAATACTCAAGTTGCAGCAACACCACGGACTTCAAACACAGAGGAGGCTTGCCTCGGAGCTGCAAACTGGAGTGTCTCTTTGAAAGTGTGGTGGACATGCAGTACATGGTCTACTTTAATTTCTTTGTGTGCGTGCTGCTGCCGCTGCTCATCATGCTGGGCATCTACATGAAGATCTTCACCGTGGCCAGGAAGCAGCTAAGACAGATTGAGCTCAAATGTGTTGGCAACGGGGACAGCCAAAACCACGGACTGCTGCAGAAGGAGATTCGAGCTGCCAAATCCCTCTCCATCATCGTGGGACTGTTTGCCGTCTGCTGGCTGCCCGTCCACATCCTCAACTGTCTCCGGCTGCTTTACAAAGACCTGGAGAGGCCTGAGGACGTCATGTATGTGGCCATCATTTTATCCCACGCCAACTCCGCGATCAACCCCATTATTTATGCATACCGCATCCAGGACTTCAGGAACACCTTCCGTAGGATCCTGGCCCAGCACTTTCTCTGCCGCGAGGAGGAGCTTTACCTCGGCTCCAACGGCAGCAGACGCCACAGAGACCAGATCCACATGACCATTGACCCTCTGCTATAGAGGCGCACAGCAGAAAAATGGGACCTGTGTCAACTGCTGAGTCTTGAATTTGCTTTTTACAGAGATTTATTAATGTTTACAGAAAAAGGGTATGATGATATGTCAAGATGATGTCAATCACACCTTGAATGTGGAGATTTATTTATAAATTGTGATGAGTTGAAGGTGCGGGATCAAGGAAATGTTCAACAGAAAGTCTTACAAAAGCTTTTGTGTAGTGGAGGGGTTTTATTTTAAAAAGTTGAAGCTAACTGGATTTGTAGGACTGTGAAGAGGATCTAAACCAAAAAAAAAAAGCTATTGTTCTCAAATGACCCCGTTACAAAATCAAACACTACTTTTCCCCTGCACTGTTGGTGTGTATTGTCAACACTCTGCCAGTGTTAAATCATTTATTACAAGGCCTTGTCTTTGAGAATGTAACAATCAAAAGAACTTTATGGGAATAGATCTGTACTTGTAGAGTTTAAAAAGGTACAGTAGTAAGTTTCATCTGTGGTTAAATTTTGGGCTTGTGAACCTTAATTTAATTAGAACTCATCACTGCCTCCATGTAGAGGACAACATTTCTGTATTTATTTATTAAGCTTGAAGATATTAAGATGGAAGAGGATCTAGAAGAATGAAGTTTTGCATATCCCAAAATGAAACAACAATATCATTTTTGTAAATCTGTTCATTTGTATTGTAACTTTACTAAGTGCCAGTGTTTGCAGGATAAGGGACTGCAGGAAGAATGTATGCACAAAGCTAAAAAACTGCCTTTTTACAAAAGAAAAAAAAAACCTTGAAAAAAGCTGAAAAAAATACCTTCCTTCCCCATGCATCACTTTGAAACTGCAGGGGTCAGAAACTTATTGTACGCCCACTACATTTATGGTCCACAGGAAGTGGCTTTGAGGCTCAAACATCATGATTAGAGTCAGTCTCAGAGGAAACAACGGTGGTTCAGCTAAATTTACCCGCAGAGTGACTCATGCCTTTATCTTACAGGGATGGTTCAGCCAATTTAAAGTGGGTTTCTGAAGAACAGTTACAAATAATTTATATTACCTGTTTTAGATATCCTTTTGAACAGCCTTGATTTGAAGAAACAGAGTTTAACTCGAACAGGATTGATGAGCTAACGGCTAATTGATCGCTTCAAACTGGGTTCATTCCTAATGATGAACTAAGATTTGACCAGTCTGCACAGACCCACTCCCATCGCCTCCAATCTTCAAATGTTCATAGCAGTTTGTGCAAACACCTATTTGAATTGTTACATCATCAGTTTAGTATTTATTACCGCTTATTTCCGCAGATACGATGACATTTCTTCTGAATGCGCTAAAAGTGCTTTAGCTGTTTGCACATAATCATAGCCTTTCACGAGAATAACCATGTAACACAAAATTGAACCGCTGTAATATTTTGGAGACTGGAGCCGGTTTAAAACAGCAGCTGTCTGATTTGGTCTTTTGTGTTTAGCTGTTAGCTCCACTCCTGTCTGATGAAAACTCTGTTACTCTAAACTGAGGCTGGTAAACTCCAAGACGCAAGACATTCATGGTTAATAACTTTTCCACTGTAAAGTTTTTAAATGGCTGAACCTATTTCCCTATAAGAAATAAGCTCAGAAGTGACTTGTTTGCTGAAATCTGACCTTTTCAGTTGCATCCTACTGATGACATGTAAGGTGGCATTTTAAATTAGTGTTATTACACTAATACACAGGATACCATTTTAGTAACTTAAATAGACCACCTTTGCTTTTAGTTGAGGTTTTTATGAATCTCGCCTGCTTTAGGAGTGCAGCTCAATTCCCCAGCAGTCTAAAACCCCAATAAGCAAAAAAAATAAAAATAAATAAAATGTTGCACTAAAGTGTGGTGGTGATGAACTATTTTAACTGAGCTCAACGATCTGCATTCTAAAAAAAAATCCAAGAAGGTCCAGATAATGAAAAAACCTCCTAAAGCAGATAATGCTGGGAAAAATTAATTGCACTTTTAATTCTTAGTGTGCCATTATAATTTTAAATCAGCACAGATTCCAATCTTACGTCTGGCTCAAATGGAGTGAGACCAGAAAATGTTTTAAACTTTTTTCTTTTAAACTCTGCAAAGGCACAGCATCTGTGAAAGAACCGATAGCGATTTGGTCACCTGAACACTACACAAATGAGCGTAGCACTGAAATTTGAACTTCCTGTTAGGTGCGTTTCAGAGGGGTTGTTAACCAAGTCGAGCACTTCTGCCGCTTTATGATCTCCCAGCATTTGTCGTTTGGTCCTGTGTTCCACCTCTGGCTGACTTCAAGGGCTAAAACACAGGAGTGTGCCAACATTTTAGTACATTCCCACGGAGACATCTATACTGTAACTGCACTGTAGCGTTCCACTATTGTCTTTGTTGACCAATGTGTGAAAACAAGTACTGTAGGTGTCGTTTTCTGCAAGCTGTTGCTTGATGTCAAGCTATTGCCTTCTTTCGTTCTCCAGTTTTAACATAAGAAAAAAAAATTCAACATTCCTGCCTTTTATTCCAAAGTTCCTTTTTGTTCGTGCCGTCTTGTTACTAATCAGGAAAAACCTTCACTGTGGGGCAATTCTTTTATCCATTCAACAGAACTACAACTGATGTAGCCGTTTAACATGATGCAATCTGTGTGTATGGTGAGTTGTTTTGGTAATAAAGGCAATGTTTATATTGGTTAATGTTGTTTTTTTTTATTATTTAATTTCAAATCATGAGAAATTATAGAGGAGAAACTGACTTCACTTTGCAGATGCTCCCTAACTGATCCAGAGTCAGATGAAAACACAAAATAAACTAAAAATAAAACTGTCAAGATGAATGGAAACTCCAAATGAAAAGATAAATAAAGCAACATCTGCCGTCTGTTAAGAGTCTGGTCTTCGCTGCAGTGAACCAGCTCCTCATCCTGGAGGGTCTTCTGGTCCACCTGCTGTCACCGAGTCTCGGTCCTGCTGAGTAGCGTGGACATCTGCTGATCCGACACGGTCTCCTGTTGAGTCACAGCCATAGCCTGGCACAGGTAGACGGCCAGGATGTGTTTGCACTGGGAGAGAAGAGTGCAGATTTATCACATGGACACCGGAAACAAAATGATAAATCTCACGGATATGAAGCTATAATGACAGCCCTGTAAGATCTCATCAGAGACGGGAGTCCTGTTAGTAATATTCCACCGAGAGATCTTCTCTCAGACAGTATCGGTCACAGAGCAAATGCTGGAGCAATCTTCCATATCAATCATGTCCTAAATGTTTATGTAAATCAATGGAGCACATGATGTTAGGGGTTATGAGTGTTTATAATTTTCAGATGGCCGGAGCATCAGGAGCCTGATGGGCGAGACACAGTCCTGCAGGTTTGAGCAACAAAATCCTCATTTGATCTGCATCAGCATGTTAATCACCGACTTGTTTTTAACTTACTGCAGGCATCAAAGCAGAGCTGTCCGTCACTCTGATGCATCTGTGGATCTGTTTTAAATACAAGTCTTAAAAACCCATCAGGAAAAAGTTATTTTTACAGCTTCTGCTGTTTATTGTTTATAAGCAGCTGTCAGCTACAGATAGCTATTACTGTGATAGCTCAGCTCTCTGTCATCTGACCCACTTCTCAGAACAAAATGGACCCGCTCCACTGTGCTCCGAGCCAACAGCCCATGAATGGAAACAGAGGCTTCAGCTGGAGAGAGTCCTGCACGGACGCCAATGAGTGTTGTACGGTTTAACTTTTCAATCAGAGTAATGTCACAAACTGGTCCACCACACAAAACCACGCGAGGGACAGATTCCTGTACTTGTACTATGTGTGTTCATGGGCAATGGTACCAGAGCTGCTGGGGAGTCTCCACAGTCTGCTGCAGTTCTCTGTTTCTCACACCGAGTTTAGCAGCATCCCCAAGAGTGCCTTAGTTATCTCTTCAATACTTGGAAAAAGAACAGAGGTTATTTGTTTCAAGATATATAAGGAGAGACTGGAGGGGAGACACCCATCAGTGACCACACAGAAACACAGCTGGCCCACAACACATCTGTACACACACATCAACGTGCACTTTGTCACACTAGACGGGGCTAAGGTTTTCTCTACGATTCATGCTTGACTGAAAAAACACAACGAATGTGAAACAAACGTCACGTCTGTCTGTAAATATAGCTGCAACATAAAATATGGGCTACAGAGTGATGTTTAGTTGGTATAGCTTAAATTATTTTATAATTCTGTGTGAACAGCAGTTAACAGATTTTCACAGACATAAAAGTGATTAATCATGACCTATGGTAATTAATCTAAAAATAAAAATAGTTGAGCTGATTTTTTGTCTAGTAACATTATCTGTGCAAGAAAAAAGTGTGACATTAGCAGATGAAATGAGAGTGAAGTGTTTTCATTGTGATGACCAGAAGTTGTGAGAAGGTAATCTTGTCAATTTAAAGTCCAGGGATCAGTTTGTGCCATAAAACACTTCTACAGTTTATTTTATGAGTGTTTTATGGCATGAACTGGCTGATTTCTTTTTTGATTCTTCTCACATTCTATCCCACTGAAATAGGAAAACACTGGAATGTTCTAGAATACATTTTATGTTTAAATATGTTCTAGAATTGCGCCGCTCAAGGTGGCTGCATGCTGGAACAGCTCTGTTACTTTCCTTCTGAGATTTTGCTTTTGGAAACTATAATTCCTCTTTTTCAGGATGTAAATCACATTTTTTTGGATGATTGTTTCCCCTGGTATCAGATGCTGTGCAGCTGGAAGGATTTTTACTGAAACTTTTTTAGTTTTGGACATGAATTTGTTATGATGCGTAACCATGGCAACAAGGCAGTTTTCTACAACCAACAGCAGCTGATTAACATGTAAAAAGCTCAAATAATATCTCAGCTACAGCCCCAAATCTCAAAAGAGTTGAAAGGATGTTCTGTGGATGCATTCTCATCTACCTGCCAGCTGTGCTCGAGTACCTGACCACTGAGATCATGGAACTAGCAAGAAACACGGCTCATGACAGCGGAAGGACAGGATCGTCCCTCGGCACCTACAGTTGGCTGTCCGCAGCGACGAGGAGTTGGCAGACTGCTGGGAGGAGTGGCCATCGCTATGGGAGGAGTTCTGCCCAGCATTAGGGCGGTCCTACAGCCCGTGGGAACCGAGAGGCCAGCCAAGTCTGGGTGGACGGATCGGACGGCATCTGCAGCCAGTTTCTTAGGATCCACTGTGGGATGGACCTTTACAAGAGATCCTTCCTGCCTACAGCCATCAGTATCTATAACATCTCTTAATGAAATGAGGATAACGAGTTACAACAACAAAATAATTTCCCTTTGGGATTAATCAAATATTCCTGAATTGAATTGAATTGAATAGTCAGTGAGAGCTCAGAAAGTTTTGTGGCAGCCATATTGCTAGGTGTGTACTATTTACCTGAATTAGCCTCAAATTGTTGAAACCTTGAGTGAGCCATCAGTCCAAACATGCACAGCAATAACTGTATTTTACTTAAATAAAAACATATTGTGCAATTTGTGACGAGGAAATTGTACTGAGCCTCTCACCAAGCTGAATCAAGTAATACGGGAGA